GTTAGCAAAGACAGCTCTCTCTTCAGAGTGGTGGAACCGACTATCGCTGTAGGGAGTGGGGAGAGACCCGCTGGAGATAGAAGTACACGGTGTCCCTCTATGCGCACCGACAAATGGTTGGGGTGTCTGACAGGTGCCATGAATGACAAGTGGGCGGGCTGCAATGTGTTTCTGGGGCTCCACCTCCTTTATCAGACACCCTGGCCATTCGGTGAGAGTGCATGGAGGGACCCCGTGTACTTCCATCTCCAGCGGGTCTCTCCCCACTCCCTACAGCGATAGTCGGTTCTACCACTCTGAAGAGAGAGCTGTCTTTGCTAACTGCACTGAATCAGGATACTGACTGGAGTATTTTACATGTAAGTGCCTCTGGAATAAAGTTCACTTGTTTTAATTCAGGCTGACCTGGCACCCTGCTGTGTTTCCTTTTGCATTTAACCACTTGCCTACTGGGCACTTATACCCCCTTCATGCCCAGGCCAATTTTCAGGCTTTCACCACTGTCACACTTTGAATGACAGTTGCGTGGTCATGCAACACTGTACTCATATGAAATTTATAGCATTTTTTTTTCACACAAACAGAGCTTTCTTTTGGTGGTATTTAATTGCCACTGGGGGTTTTATTTTTGCACTATAAACAAAAAAAGAGCACAAAATTTGAAAAAAAAAAGTTTTCCTTTGTTTCTATTATAAAATTTAGTAAACAGGTAATTTTTCTCCTTCACTGATGTGCGTTGATGAAGCTGCACTGATCAGGTGCCAGTGGTGGGTATTGATGAGGAGGCAGTGATATGCAGTAATGATGGTCACTGATGGGCAGAGCTGCCTAGGGGGGCACTGGTAGGTTGCACTGGTGGGAGGCACTGCAGGACACTGATCATCAGTGCCAATCTGCTCTGTGAGAGCTGCTGGTTATCGACAGTACTTTCCTCACGCTGTGACAGTGTGAGGAAAGTGCTGCTGATAACTGGCAACTGTACTTACTCCGTGATCTGCTGTGTCATTGGACAGAGCTGATCACATGGTAAAAGGCCGCTGTGATTGGCATTTTACCTCATCACGTGATCAGCTGTGTCCATAGGACACAGCAATCACAGAGCTCACTGGGTGCACGCCGCCGGGGGTCGCGTGGGAGGGCATGTTCTGGGAGGACTATGACTCCCTCCCAGAACTGGATAACCGGCGATAGCGTGGTTAAAGTGTTACTAAACCCAGGACCCTGCATCCACTATATCTGGTCTCCCACTGTACACAGGACCTGGAAATGCAACTATTTTAGTAAAAATAGACTGCTAAATACCTTTTCTCATCAGCAGTTAGAGCAGTCGTGTGACTTATATCAGTGTTCAGCCAAGCACTAGCTAAGGCTTGTAGGAGGAGTTTTCTTTCTGCTCTAGGAGGATGCAAAACCCCTGACCTCTGTCTGGACAGCGCTGATTGGCCCTGTGCTGATCACATGCACTTTCCCAAGACTAAAAAAACCTCTTTAGCATTACACATCAAACTGAGCATGTGCAAATGCCTATGGTTCAGTCTGTCTTGTCAGGAGAGGTGATCTCTTGAAAAAGGGGAGGACAGGGGTGTGGAAATTTTTAAAAGAAACTGCTTGCCCAAGGGAGTTAATCGAGGTCCCAATCTACTTTGTCCCTCAATACAATCTACTTGTCCTGCTGAAAAAAAAAACAATCACAGCAGGTCACATGACAGTTGTAAACCATGGATGGCTTCCTTTCATGCCATCCATTGTATACAACTGTGTAACTAGCTGTGATCAGTCACAGTGATCACTTGCACAGACTGGGCCAATCACAGCTCATCTGTGTCTTCTGATTAGCCGTGGCCAATCACAGCTAATCGCAACAAAAAAACCTGAATAAATCAATTTCATTCAGTTAAATGCTTGCTTATAGTAAATAAATTCTTTGATATAAGCAATCATATTGTGTAAAAAAAAAAAATACTGATCACTTCCCCAAAGTAATACAATGTTACTATGGTAACATTATATTATTTAGGTCATAGTGTAATATGAAAAGAAAATAGTAAAAGAAAAAAAAAGTAATAAAAAAATATTGAAAAATAATTAACTATTATTTTTTTGTACTGTCACCAGTCAGTGACTCTGATCGCCACCACACCAGTTATATGAGTACGCTGTACTGCACTGGTGACAGTATGTAAAAAAAAAAAAAAAAATAGTGACCATTTTCCAAAAACTTATGAAAAAAAAAATTACAACTTCAAAAAACTCACCATGCCTCTTATGAAATACGTCGACTATCTACTTTGCAAAAAGGGGTCATTTGGGGGATAATCTGTACTGTTCTGACATTTTTGGGCCTCAAGAAATTAGATTGGCTGTCAGTACTTCAGGATTGATCAATTTTCAGATATATCCCATAGTTTGTGAACTCTGTAACTTTCCTACAGACTAAATGGTAAATACTAATTTGGGTTATTTTCACCAAAGAAATGTAGCAGAATACATCTTGGCCTAAATTTATGAAGAACAATTATTTATTTTGCAAATTTTTATAACCGAAACAAAGAAAAACAGGTTTGTTTTTTCAAAATGTTCGTTTTTTTTTTTTTTTTTTGTTTAGCAAAAAATAAAAACCCCAGTGGTGATTTAATACCACCAAAACAAAGCTCTAGTTGTGTGAACAAAATTATAAAAATTTAGTTTGGGTACAGTGTTGCATGACCGCACAATTCTCATCCAAAGTGTGAGAGCGCTGAAACCTGAAAATTGGCCTGGGCAGGGAAGGGGGTAAAAGTGCCCGGTATTGAAGTGGTTAAAAATGAAAGGGGCTGTATGGTGACTTAAACTTTTAATGTGTTTTATTTTTTGCTAGAAAATTTCTTAGAACTCCCACGCATTTTTTTTTTTTTTAAAGCAGAGGCCCTAAATAATGAATTGGTGGGTTTTGCAATTTTTTTATGTCACACAGCATTTGCACAGCAGTTTTTCAAACACAATTCATTTATTTATTTTTCTAAATACACTTTTTGGAATTTTAATGCAAAAAAACACAATCCATGACCAATTTTTTGATAAAATATAAAAGATGTTACGCCACTAAAGAGATTCCAAACATGTCATGCTTAGAATTGCACATGCCCATGCAATGGCAACAAACGGCGTAAATTTTACTATCCATAGGTGACGCTTTAAAAGCTTTTACAGGTTACCACTTTAGATTTACACAGGAGGGTCTGGTGCTAGAATTACTGCCCTCGATCTGACGTGCACGTTGATACCTCACGTGTGTGTGTGAAATCGCTGTTTGCATGCATGCGGGGACTGACGCATGCATTCATTTTTGCACGCGAACACGGGAGGGAGAGGGGTGCTTTTAATGCAATTATAGGTACTTTTTATGGAGAGATCTGGGGTAAATAAGACCCCATATCCCTCCTCTGCCCTGAAGAGCATTTGATCACACCAAGATCGGTCTGATCAATTGCTTTCCATTTTTATTCCCGCCTCCCACTGGTCCAGTCTCCCTTGCTGCCCATTGGCGGAGAGCACTGCTGTTTAGAGCCAGGAGTTTGAGCAAACTTGGCACTATATAAATTCTGAATAATAATAATGCATCCCTTGTGATAGAAATAATTAGTGACAGGTCCTCTTTATGGAGAGATATGGGGTCAATAAGACCCCAACATCTCTCCTCTACAAAGTAAAGCATTAGATCAAAAAAAGCATTGATCTAGTGCTTGGGGGGAAAAAAAGGCCTGATTTACAAGGTGCCGGAAACAGAAGTGACATCACTCCGGTCCTTCAAGGGCATAGAGATGAGTGGAGGCCATCTTTTCTTCACTTATCTCTATGCCCAACTCCAGGATTGTCCGGTGGTTTTCTCGTGTGTGTGTGTGTGTAAATTTTTGTTTTAAGAGCGTTCATTTGATTTTCTAATCATTAGTGGGGTCAAATCAATTCAAAGGAGCAGAATGGAAAACATTTCTCGATCAAACTAATTTTCAGATAGTGTTTGTGGTTTTCATTCAGAAAGTACATTCATTTTTAAATTTGAATGTTAAAAGGAAGTGAAACTTTCAGTTGTCCATTTATCATTATGTACAAAGAATTTTCTTACAAATATTCTCGTCCAAAAATTGTTACGTGTATGGCCAGCATAAGACATTTAGTAGCAGCAGCATGCTTTTTTTTTTATTATCTGTCATGATGGGTTAAAATGTCCCATGAGGCATTGCTCCTCACACGTTCACTAGTTCTCAAGCACTGACTTGTATGAACAGTGTGCTGAGCTGAGTGTGTGCTGCAATGTGTTTTCTGATATGTAAAGAAATATGCGTTCTGTATGTAGGCCAACTAATTGGCTGGACAACTAATCGATTATGAAAATAGTTAACAGTTATGTCGATTTTAGTTGTTTCAGCCCTAACTGAACGTAATGGTTACAAATTAAAGGCAAAGTTGGTGAGAATTACAAAAAAAAAAAAAAAAAAATCAGGAGATATCCATTACCATTTACCACAAAATGAAAGACCAATTTGTCCTGAAAAAACAAGTTATAATCCACCTGGATACACTAAGTAGTTGTTCTGATATGTGCAGTTTTACCAAAATATGTCAAAGTTACAAAATTTTGTTCAGGCATTAACATTTGTTTTTCCCTCTATAACTAATGGGTTAAAGGTGTGTGTGTGTGTGTGTGTGTGTGTGTGTGTGTGTGTGTGTGTGTGTGTGTGTGTGTGTGTGTGTGTGTGTGTGTGTGTGTGTGTGTGTGTGTGTGTGTGTGTGTGTGTGTGTGTGTGTGTGTGTGTGTGTGTGTGTGTGTGTGTGTGTGTGTGTGTGTGTGTGTGTGTGTGTGTGTGTGTGTCTTCCTATAAAGCTGTGAATGTGACTTTTCACCATTGACTGGTGGTAAATCAATCACTTTAATTTAAATCACACAGGAAGATTTACCTGCAGTGAATGCTTGGTGATTGACAGATGCTTTGTTTTTTTAAATATACTCCTAAATGTTATGACATGATTAACTACCAAATACTCATCATGGAATATCTTTGTGTTTTTTTTTCAGGATTCCATGTGATTCCTACTGTGTCCAACGTTGTTCCAGAGAGCTGTCTTCTGATTGTTGTAGGGCTTTTGGTTGGTGGACTTATCAAAGCAGTGGGTGAAATCCCTCCAGTTTTAAGTTCCAAAGTCTTCTTCCTGTACCTTCTGCCCCCTATTATCCTAGATGCTGGATACTTCTTGCCCCTGCGTCCTTTCTCTGAAAACCTAGGAACTATTCTGATATTTGCAGTGGTGGGCACCCTCTGGAATGCCTTCTTTATAGGGTCACTGCTGTTTGCAGTGTGCCAGATAAGTGGAGGCCAGCTTGCAAATGTAGACCTCCTGGACAACTTGCTTTTTGGCAGTATCATATCCGCTGTGGACCCGGTGGCTGTATTGGCTGTGTTTGAAGAAATCCACATAAATGAGCTGCTCCACATTCTAGTGTTTGGAGAGTCCCTGCTTAATGATGCCGTCACTGTAGTAAGTATCTGCTTCTAAATAATTTATCATTATTAGCTTTAAATAATTTGAAATTATTTAATATAGAGATTATTTTATAAAATTGGAACAGAGAATGCCTCTTAAAGTGGTTCTAAAGCCTAAACTTTCTTTTTTTGCCTTAATGCATTCCCTGCATCATGGTAAAAAAAAAAGGTTTAAAAAGTGATGTTGTCCCCTCACTCCGCCACATACTTGCCTGAGCCCTCACTCAATCCAGTGCTGTACCCATCTGTAGCAGATCTTCCCCCTCTCACAGGCTTGGCACAGCCAATAGTGCCTGCTTCTGTCAGTCAAATCCTGTGGCGAGGGGGTGGGGCCAACAGGCAACTCAGCACGGGATCAAGCCCTCAGTAGTTCCACCATAGGAAGCATAGGAGGAGCCAGGAGCTCCAGGTTAACCCCAGAATAAGAGGATTGAGGCCACTCTGTGCAATCCTGTTGAAGGTAAGTAGAATATGTTTGTTAAAAAAAAAAAACGTGCAATCACTTTAACCATAGACAGTGATCACTGACCTGCTTTTATTTCCTGTCCAGAACTAAATCTGATTGCCATGGGTAACATCTTTTTTTATTTGCTCATTTTTTTTTTCTTTTAAAGTGGCTGTCTTTCATTTTAAGGCCTTGTCAACCTATTGGAACACTTTTTATTATTGAAAAATGGGGTGTATATTACAGAACATTTTTTAGTATAAGTACAAAATAAATTTCTTGTAGAAGGATTGTTGTACTAATACAACATATGATAGATTTATATATATATATATATATATATATATATATATATTTATTTGTGAATTTTGAAAAATGACTAAAAATAACTAGGCAAGATTGCAATGTTTAATGTCAAAATAACACAGTGAGTTAAGAATTGCAAGTTTAAAGGTATTGGCAAGAACATAAAGCATTGGTAGCCTGTTCACATTGTAATCTAGCTCCCTAGCCATATTTAAATATGCTAATAAATTAGCTGTAGTCTTATATTTTTGAGTAGCAAACTGGCTAGCTTTAGCAGTGAAACTTTCTTTCCTTTCCTCAAAAATGAAGACAGACCTTCATTTTAGTGCACATAAAGCCCAAACTTTTTTTTTTTTTTTTCCTTTAAGCTTTGGCTAGAATAGAAAAGATTTCTGGGTGATTTTCTTACACTTCCTTTTCTGGAAATGCACTAGGAAATTAGGGAAAAGCACCCCAAAATGAAGCAATTCCTACATTATACAGTTGTGTCCTGAATATGCAAGTAAGAAAAAAAACAAAAAACCCTTACCTAGGACGTAGTACATGATTTCTCTAAAGAAAAGCTTCTAAAGAATCATGCTGCACATTTGTATATGAGAAATATCTTTCAATTATCTATTGCTCTTGAATTTTAAATACTTGATAGAAGGAAGTATAATTAAGGTGGAAGGGGGAGTAGCAGGCACCATTGCAAAGATTTTTTTTTTTGGTGTTTGCTAACCTGTCCTCTCCTAAAACTGATTTTTTTTTTTTCCATTGCAACGAAGCCCTTTTGGGCCTTAGGCTGCCCATAGATGGATTAAAATTCAGCCGTTTAGCAGGGACCAGCCAAATTTTGACCCATGTATGGGCACTATGTTTGTACAAAAGTAGATCTTCTATACATCCACCCTGCTGGAAAATGTCCTCTAGATCAGTGCTGCAGGCTATAGACTGCAGTGCTGATCTGTGTATTCTGATGGCGTGGAAGTCTCCCCGCTGTCAGAATACAATGACACAGCGGGAGGGTTCTCCTATCCGCCTCGAATGTGTGGATAGGGGAATTCGGATCCGTTTTCTCCTTCAGCCTGCTGGTTGAACGGAAAAAAAACTGACCCACTTCTGGCTAGCTTTTGTTACAATTCTAGAAAACACTGAGCTTCTGTGTAGGTGAAATGTAAACATGAATAACCTACTGAAATTTTTGCCATGTAAGTGAAACTTTTCCATGTCACCCTTGTTATTTTGAATCTTTCCAAAACCTATTATTCCAATTGTCCACTCGTTTGTTCTTTTCGTATTTGTTTATGTGTATCTCTCTCTATAGGTTTTGTATCACCTTTTTGAAGAGTTTTCTGTCTTGGATCAAGTTACATTCCGTGATATATCTCTGGGGTTCCTGAGTTTCTTTGTTGTTGCCCTGGGAGGGGTGTTTGTCGGAGTGGTATATGGGATTATCGCAGCCTTCACCTCCCGCTTCACCTCCCACATCCGTGTTATTGAGCCCTTGTTTGTTTTCCTCTATAGTTACATGGCATATATGTCTGCAGAGCTCTTCCATCTCTCAGGAATTATGGCGTAAGTTACTTTTCCATAAGTTATATTTATAGTGTTCTGATTACCTGTAGCACCATACTCTTGCCTTTTATTTGGCATGCTGACACCATGCTGGCCTGTCTTGTTGCTTTACTGCTCTGGTCTGTAAAAATAAAACATATTGCAGGTTGAAAATTGTTTTTTTTTTTTTGGTTTTTTTTCAGCCTTATTGCTTCAGGAGTTGTAATGCGACCTTATGTGGAGGCTAATATTTCCCACAAGTCCCATACTACTATCAAATATTTCCTGAAAATGTGGAGCAGTGTCAGTGAGACTTTAATTTTCATCTTTCTTGGAGTTTCCACCGTGGCTGGATCTCATCATTGGAATTGGACCTATGTCATCTGCACCCTTTTCTTCTGTCTGATAGCACGCGTGTTGGGTATTGCTTTATGTTTAATTCAGAATTCTATTTGACATTCACATGTGAAGTGTACCTAGATTTTCATGTGACAGTTGGGGATCATACTCTTACTGCATTTTAGTTTACCAATATCTGACTAGTGTAACCATGACCTACTTCTTTCACAGTGTAACAATACTTATTATATATGTGATTTAGCTGGAATCTGGAGAACTAATGCACTATTGTTTTTTTTTTTTTTTTTTCTTGGATGGCGTTAAAATGCCTTGCCATCTTTCTCTTTGTTAACAGAGGTAAAAGGAGACAGATTTTGTGCAGCAGCTGTGCTTGTGTGACCCTGCTTTGTCATGGGATCATGGTAAATGCCAGAAATAACTGCTTGAAAGTCAAAGCTTTTGGCTTTTCGTCCTTTTTGACTTTGACCGTTGGTAAGGTCTGGACACAGCAAGTATATGGTGTAACACAAGTCCATGTGGATTTATTGTCTTTAGACCTTAAAGTATAGCTGAACCCAAAAAAGTAATATACTGCAATTTGCAAGACCTTGGGTGGTGTGGTTGCATAAGTTTTCTTTTTTAAGGCCAAGTACATTTTCAGCAAATAGCGGAAAAAAACTTGTTAGAAATCTTCACATGGACTGAACGAAACATGGCAATGCTTCTGCTCCTCCGTAGACATGGTGTAGTGAGCAGGGGCAGACTGACCATTCGGAAACTTGGTCACTGCCCGAGGGCCCGGGGTCAGTAGGGGGCCCCATGAGATGCCCCTGGTACCTTTTTCATAGGCTTTTTTGCGTTTGGGCAAGGACACAGGGGCCCCATGATCCCCTATTGCCCAGGGGCCCCATGAGTTGTCAGTCCGCCCCTGATAGTGAGTGAGTGTTGTCACTCTAGGTCAGGAAGTGTGTTATTGGCAGAATTACCAGTTGAAAATAATGGGAAAATGCCTAAAAAAGGAAATTGATGCAGTTTCCAATTCCAGTGACTGCAATATAGTTGTGGGGGTTTTTTCAGATATGTTTAGGGATTAATGACCTCTTAAGGCATGTTATTAATCTTAAATATTTGTGCTAGTAGTTTGGTTTTTAAATGTGAAATAATTTAGGAGCAGGTGTGTGTTTAAATCCAAAGTAGATGAGGGTGTCTGTGTTCCAGGATCCAGAAGACTAACAATGGAAGTAAACATTCACTCTGAAATGCCACTCCTGCCCAATCCTTTCAAGGCTACAGTTTTACCTGTACAGTATTCATGTTATATTTCCTGACAGGTTTTCTAAACAATAATAACTGAACAATTTGTTGCGGTTTTTTTTTTTTGTTGTAAGTTTCAATTTTATGTCCCTTTCTTAGGTGTTCTTGGCTTAACGTGTTTTATCAACAAATTCCGCATAGTGAAGCTGACACCCAAAGACCAATTCATTATTGCATATGGTGGCTTGCGTGGAGCCATTGCTTTCTCCCTGGGATACTTATTGCATAGCCATAACAGAGATATGTTCCTCACTGCAATAATTACAGTAATTTTCTTCACAGTGTTTGTGCAGGTGAGTAAAGGTACTTTTTGGGGCTGGAGGTGGGGGCAGATGAAATTCTGTTATGGTATTACATTCATTTTTGCTAATTTAAATAGTTCAGTGTGTAGAGGGGCTGAAGCAGAGGGTTTCACAATGAAGCACATTTGTTTAGCCATGGCATTTGTTTGAAATGGAAATGATCTCTTTTGGGAAGTTTTCCACACATGCACAAACAAATGGTTGTTAAGATGAATTTTGCTCATTTGGCGAATTCACACAGCCTGAAAAAAAACGCATGTTTAGATGCATACAGCAGATAGTTTGTATGCATCTGAATGCAGCACTATAGTAATCAATGAGTCCAGACACACAGGGCTCATTCACATGGCAGAAGGAAACGCTGTTTATACATGCACAGCAGATAGTTTGTTTTTTTTTTTTTTTTTTTTTTTTTTTTTTGTACACATCTAAATGCAGAATTATAGCAATCAGTGAGGCCATACATGGCTGCGTCTACATACAAAAATGTGCTCTGCGATTAGTTGTGCATAAACACAAATACTTTAGGCGTGTACTTTATGCAGAAACTGTCATGTAAAAAAAAATACATTTTTCTGCCTGTGTTAATGAGCTCTAGCTCTGCTAGAAAAGTCCCTTTTTCAGTCAGAAAATGCTCATCTAAATGTAGTGTTCTTTCTACCCGTGTGATTGAGCCCTTTAATTTTTTAGTGTTTTAAAATTTCACGCACACTTTTGTCCCATTTTTTAAAATTATGTAAAAACTATAAACAAAAGAGTGTATATCGCCAAAATCCGCACGTTCCTAACCCCAGAAACCACTAAACAGCTCATCCACTCCCTCATCATATCACAACTCGACTACTGCAACTCCCTCCTCACTGGCCTGCCTCGCCGCTGGCTATCCCCGCTTCAGTCGATCCTGAATACGGCTGCCAGACTCATTCACCTTTCCAACCGCTCTGTATCCGCCACCCCCCCCTCTGCCAATCCCTCCACTGGCTTCCGATTGCGCAACGGATCAAATTCAAAATCCTAACGCTAACGTACAAAGCTGTCCACCATACTGCCCCGAACTACATCACCGACCTAATATCCAAGTACCGCCCCCAGCACGCACACTCCGCTCCTCACAAGACCTCCTTCTCTCTAGTTCCCTGGTCTCCTCCTCCCATGCCCGCCTCCAGGACTTCTCCAGGGTGTCACCCATCCTCTGGAACTCCCTGCCCCAACCCATCAGATTATCACCTACTCTCCCTTAGGCGCACCCTGAAAACCCATCTCTTCAGGGAAGCCTACCCCACCCCCTGCTAACTTGCCGACCTCCTCCACTCTTTCTACCACTCCATCCCCCACAGCTATCCCCTCCCTCCTAGATTGTAAGCTCGAAAGAGCAGGGCCCTTGATCCCCTCATGTTTTGCATTGTATTGGTATTGTTCTGTCACATGTTCTGTCCCCCTTTGTAATGTTCAGCGCTGAGCGAACTATTGGCGCTTTATAAAATACTGTATAATAATAATAATAATAATAATTTTGAAGTGTGTGTATTGGTACTCCTTGTTGGAGAGCTTCAATATATAGAAGCGGACCGCTGACAAGATAAACCTGCCTGCCAGTGTTGGTGAGTTGCAGGCCATTACAGTTGTAGCAGTCTAAACGCTTTTAAGGCTATGTATACCGGAAAAAGGAAATTACTTAGTACAACAAGATATCCAGTGCTTTTTGGATATTATGAGACCATACTAGCTATGCAGGAACTGCATCCTTGTCTCAGTATCTAAGTTTCAGGATATCGTGGTATGTACTGTATGTGGTGTGTATATTTTTACAGCTATGTATTGTATGAACTATGTCCCCTTCACATAGCTTAATCATGACTCCAAGAACATCCATATATCTTTGTAAAGTATGTATTGTAAATAACAGCCACAAATTAGGAAATACACCATGTGAGGAATCATAATGCTGCCCACACTCTGCAGTGTTTGAAGAATGTGACCCTAAACTGCTGCTATCCAACCACAAGATCATATGAACAATGCCACTTTCTGAGATTGAGGAAGAATAATAAAAAGGGTGTGAGCTAGCTATAGGCAGATGTAGAACACCAATAGGGCAAGTAAACTTTGTACATGCTTTACTTCTACATCTGAAAAGACTTATGGTTGCCAGTGGCTATGCTTTAAACTGAGCATTAACCCTTTTGCTAATTTTTGTCACTGAAAGGGAATGACTATTCGTCCACTGGTGGAACTTTTAGCTGTGAAGAAGAAGCAAGAAACTAAGCGCTCAATAAATGAAGAAATACACACACAGGTAATTAAATGACAGATATCATATATTATATTATGAAAGTTCATGTTTAACCCCTTCACGCCTAAGGGTAAAGCAAATCTTAACGCCTAAGCATAATTTTGCAACTTTGACGTGTTAGCAAAACCGTACATATCACAACTACTTTGTGCATCCAGGTGGATTATACCTTTTTTTCTTTTCAGGACAAATTGGGCTTTCATTTGGTGGTAAATGGTAATGGATATCTCCTGATTTTTTTTTTTCATTACCAAAGGAAAACTGGCCCAAAATAGTAAAAAAAAAAAATAAAAACTTTTTTTTTAAATTTAGCTTTATATTTCTTGCTACTGCCATAATCTACAACCAAATAACCCAAAATAATTTCTCCTCCTGACGGTTGCAGTGATACCACATGAGTGTATGTTAGTTGTTGTTTGTACCCATGGTACAGCCCAGAAACCATAATGCACAATTTGCGCTTTTTTAATTTATTTTCTTTTTATTCTGCCACTAACTGACACCGCTGCTAATTTAAAAATTAAAAAAAAAAAAAAAAAAAACCTGACAACCCCCCTACAAAACAAAAACTGAGCCTGACCTTGACCAAAACACCAACCCTGGCACAGACCTAGATCTAGGTATTTTTTTTTTTTTTTTTTTTATTTATTTTTTACACACACTTTTTTTTCTCTCTCTCCCCCATTCAGAGAGAGATAACAAGGGGGCAGGCTTCACAGTGACTGATCACTGTGACATCCAGTCAGAGTCTATCACAGCGATCAGATGACCCAGAATTGGGAGTTTCGGGTCCTGATCGTTAGAATAGAACTAGGGGCTCTCAGTGACATCCCAGTCTTTGTGCTGGGAGTGTGCCATCACACGATACGCAAACTAGCTGTCTGTGAGGCCACTAATTTGCGTGCGGTCGCGTCCAGGGGTTAAGGAATGAAACATTTGTAACAGTATATATTGGATGGATAGTCATTTTAGTGCCCTTAAGTCTGCATGAATAAATTCTTCTCATGTCAAATACTAGAACAGGGTTTCTCAACCAGGGTTCCTCCAGAGGTTGCTAGGGGTTCCTTGAGCAGTCAGCAATTCCTGCCTCTCAGGTAAGTTCCTAATGATACCATTGATCTTCTTCCCAGTGACCACAAGTGTAAGGAACATTCTTCCCATTGACCATCAGCTCCATAGATCAGGAACAGTCCACCACTGGACCATGGGGGGAGAGCCATTATCTCTCCTCACGCCTAGACAAAATGAGTTGACCCATGCAGTGCAGGCATGGCCCCACTGCTTGGGAAAACGTTTTTTTTTTTTTTTTTTTGCCTGGCATTGGGCTTTAACCACTTCAGTTCTACTACCTGTATACGAGGAGAACCAGAGTAACTTTTACATTTCCACTATGGGTTTGTTTATTTGGAGCTAACTTTATTCTTTTAGATCACAAAGTAATACGCTATATTTTTGGGGAAAAACAAGGCTTTCTTTTGGCAATGTATCTAAAATTACTTGTGTGCTGCAAATCCTCTTGCGCTCCAAATGTTAAAAGTGAGCTCCCACATTTATTCAAGACCGTGTCAATAAAATGGTGTAGCTCTACTTTTGTGTAGATAAACCAAATACAAAATAATTAAAATTATTAAAAAAGCATGCATCTAGGTGATCGGATAATACTTATTTTAGTACGCTGCGATCCATGTACTGCAGAACATTAAATAAAGAGTGAATCCATAATCCCAGTGCTGCAAATAGCATCAAATAACTACTAGAACACTTCAACCTTATCTAAAAAGGAAAAACTATGTGTTTTAAATATTGAGACCACAATCTTGGTGCTTCAAATACAGCAGGTTAAAATTGAGACCACAATCTCATTGCTGCAATTGAAATATTGAGACCACAATCTCAGTGATTAATAGCAAAATAGATCATGTCAAACCACATTCCTAATGATGCAAATTAATCCATAAACCTCAAAGTTATATTGTGTTAGATTTTGTCATCCTATGTGCAGTCCACAGTCCATTGATTACACCATTCATAGTTTTTAAACATGAATATTTATGAAGTCGCCAATCCACCATATACGCCATATTTCTCAGTGATCCACCTTTGTGCAGAGTTACTGCTCACCTCAACATCCGACCTATATTTTCATATAGATCATACAGCGCTTGTGTGTTTTTTTTTTTGTTTTTTTTTTTCCAGAGGCAATCTCCTGTTATCCACATAGGTTCCTTTAAACAATCTCTATTGTCTTCAGTGGTCGACCAGTAGCACTTATAGAAGAACTGCCCATAGTGTAACTCTGTCTTAAAAATAGCAACTCACATCCAAATATAACACCACAAAGAGTGTATAGCGCATTGGAACAGATTAGTCTACTGACTTCCTCCGCACTGGAATTATAGATTTATGCTTTAATGTTTTGCAGTACATGGACAGCAGCATACTAAAATAAGTATTAATTGATCACTTCAAGACATACTCATTTTTTTTATATAATTATTTTGTTTTTCTTTTATCTACACAAGAGTAGCGCTACACCATTTTTAATGAAACTTTCCTTTGGTATGGGCTCAATCGAAAATAAAAATATATGCAAAACAATATTGCCAAACAAATGAAAAACGTTTTTTTTTTTCTGTTTTGACAATTGACTGGTGTTTTTTTTTTAACCACTTCACTTCTAGAGTTTTTTTCTTTCTTTTGCATTTTTCACATGCTAACTGCATGTGCCCAATAAATGGTGAAATATTACAGCACCAAAAATTATCAGCAGGCTACTCTTTAAATGTTTAAACTGTAAACCATAAATGACATGCCCACCTAAAAGGGGAAGTTCCGCTTTAAGGCCTCGTCCCCCACTCCCCATTAAGGATTGGCACCGTTTGGGGAGTGGAGGGATATCCGATTTTGACAGGTGTCTGCTTCCACATTCACTTCCACTTCCTGCCTAATACACCACCCCCATGTAGTCTTCTGGGACATGACAGGTCACAGAGGACTGCTGCAGGACCATTCACAATGTGCAGTGCTGAGAGCACCCGGCTGTGAAGCCAAAAGCTGTCACAGCCTGGTGCCCACACGTAAGTTGAACCCGGCTGTGGCGAGGACACCGCTGGATCCTAGGACAGGTGAGTGGCTGGTTTTTAAAAGTCAGCAGCTACAGTTTTTGTAGCTGCTGACTTTTATTTTTTTCACCAGAGACCATAGCTTGCTTTAAGGAAAGGAAAAAAGTGTGTCTGTGAAGGCTCTCATTGCTCACAGTTGGTAGTAGTCACATTTCATCTGGACTTGTTCTGTAATGTCAGACATTTTGTAGCTTCTCTAAGCTGTGTATATGTTTATTTTCCAAAAACAGGATGAGAGGTGTGAAAGTTGTGATTAGTAGGTGCCAAGCAAGTACTGTCATGCTAGCAGAAAAATGGAAATGGACTGTGGTAATCAATACATCTGATTACTATTCTCAGCTGCCCACTCTTCTTAGTGATGCCAACACTTGTGAGCCATTAAAGTGTTGTTCACCTTTACCAGAAATCTGCCTATGCAGATAAGGGGTGACTGTGCATAACAATCCATGTGTCTCTGAATAAAGTGGAATAATACCCTTGCTATAGGTGTAGGCCATTTACATACATCCTGAAGCCTGGCTGGAAAACTCCCAGGGCATTGCTAGGTGAGGCCTAGTCATTACTGCTCACCTACACATATCTTTTCACTTGTGTACCACCTGCAGAAGCTACTGACTTGACCAAAACATATAAAACATGGTAAGACTCTCAACAGTCAAAGAGAACTCAAAACCAGACCAAGTATGTACCTTGCTGACATGACTGTGCTGTGGGATCACCTGTATTTCCCAGTGTAGCTATTCTGAACATGGTGGAGGTTGAGAAGAGCCCCTTACATTCTTCCAAGGTAATAGCACCAAATTAGTGGTTCAGGTATATGACTGACACATGGATCAAGATTAGAACATCAGAAATGCAAGCTTTTGATGAGCACATGTGACAAATCAAGTTTGCACAATGAAGAGGCGCAGAAGAAAATTACCCCTTTGTACTGTATGTTAACATGTCATAGAAAGGAGTGACTTGGACACTGTGGTCTACTGCTACCCTACCCATACAGGCCAATATCTGCTTTTTGACTTTTTGACACAAACTGACAAACACTGAACGTTGGGCCAACTGGTGAACACAAACTGAGAGAACATGGCCATCTAAGGAAACACTGCACTCATACTGTATTGGTAAAACATCCCACAAGTCTGCAACATATAAAAACACCAAAAATGCAGCGCTTGACAACAAGCAGTGTCACATAAAAAGACATTAAAGCCACCAACTTAAACGCACAAATTAAGCAAACAATGAGTGTTATTAATGAAAAAACAAAGTGCATATAGTGATAGGGATGTTAGAGTCTACTCATACTGGGCTATTGGTAAAACATCCACAAGTCCAAGCAAAAACATGGTACTGAGGGGAGAAGCAGATAACATGAAGTAATATAGGCAACTTGTATGCAGCTGGAGTGTCAGAAAAATTCAGAAGATGATCTTTAACAAACATCCCTGAGTCACTCAAGCTCAGCAATACACTGGGAGAGAAGCTTGTACAGCCAAAAGACCCAACACCCAAATACAAGCAAAGTAACTTGGTATATGTAGTGCAGTATACAGGGGCGGACTGACCATTTGAAAACCCGGGCACTGCCCGAGGGCCCAGGGTCAGTAGGGGCCCCTATGAGATGCCCCTGGTACCTTTTTCATAGGCTTTTTTGAGTTTAGGCAAGCACACAGGTGCCCCATGATCCCCTATTGCCCGGGGGCCCCCCTATGAGTTGTCAGTCCGCCCCTGGCAGTATAGTAAGGGAATGCAAAGACCCGTGTGTTGGGGAGACCAAACAACTTGTCAACAAATTAATGGCTCAGCATAGGAGGGACAATTGTACAGGTCAAGACACAGTAGCCTTCCTACATCTTAAGGAATGAGTACATTCTTTCGAGG